GAATGAGGGTGAAGTTCACGACACCTACCTGAGGTATGAAGTGGGAATTGAGAAGGGATTGTTTGAACATATAAATTGTCCGAAGTCACTTAATTATATACACTTCCTTTCCTTTATAGGGATGATTTGGAAGTAATAACTCCTTATTCATGCCATCTTATACCTGTGTTAGTTCAACTATTAGAAACGGTAGATAAGGCCATAGTCGTGATGGCCCGGAGGTTTAAGACGCCCGCTTCTCATGCATGAGGGTGCGGGTTCGAAACCTACCAACGGGAAGTACCAATGTGACTTTTTCAGAGTTATATGTACTTTCTACGATTATCTAACTACACCACTGACAAACAGTAAAGGAAAACATGGTGAGGAAACCTGGGCTTATACTTTCTAATTATAAGTTTGTAATCGCCAACCCGCATTGAGCAAGCGTGGTGATTAATGCTCAAACCTTCACCGTGTGAGAAGAGACTTTGCTCAGTAGGCATTTATAGGCTCTTGATTAATGAAATGACTGAAAGAATATTTAATTAACTAAAAATTGCGGGTTACTCACGTGAATATACTGAAAAAAGCTCTACTAGTTTCGAACCACAGAGGGGTTCTCATGAGCAGCGTGGGCGGTCGCGGTGATGTAGCGCAGCCTACTGAATTTTAAGTTTTACTTCAATATCGTGCCAAAGAATTAGTGGTGACAGAACTATACTGAATTAACTTTTCAGTATTCGAGCGTAAAGTTGTCAAAATATTTTCAAAGTTAGTTTAGTTTTATTCGAATAAATAAATAACAGTATTTCAGTGTACTACTGGGTGTATGCACTACACAAAAATACTGTCTGGCTTATGATGAAAAGTGCTCTTGCAAGGAAATCACAAACAAGATTAAAAATAATCGAATGATCTCGTCGTTCGTTTGAAATATTGCAGAATATCGTACATCTCGCATGTTTACTTAGCGTAGCGCTCACATCTAAACAAGATTACTCTTTATTACATTATTGATACGAATAACATATTGACAAGACTTCGAAATGCAGAGTTTGTTATCTATGAGATCAAGATGTTTAGGAATGTTATTATTCATTGCTTGATGTATAAAACAGATAGGTAAATAAGCTATGACATAAATTAGCAGAAAACAACAATATTTCAAAAGTAATAATTATAAACATAAGTTTTTGATATATTGTTATGTTATTGTAATGTTGTTATCATAACATTACGGCAATTAATGCCACAGTAAAATGTAACACCCATTTTTCACTATTTACATTATGAGTCCCGTGTAATTGGGGGTGTGCCTATTACTGTACACCGGGCACAACTCCAGACAGCGTGCTACTACTGAGAATTAAAAAAAACAGTAATATTTTGCCCGACCCGGAAATCGAACCCGAGACCCCATTACCCGGCATTCAGCCAACGGGGCAGTCTAAGGTAAGTAATACCTACATATTATATTTAACGTCTTTTAATAAAATACCTTGGAGTTCTATGAATAAAGTGTATGCTCAAAAAAGCATAAAAGTATGTGTAGAAGTTCTATCTGTTATCTATGTACATTCGTTTTTGATTGTATGTGTTATGTATACTGTAGTGGAGTAACCAAGTTTTGGCAACTCTTAAAATTAAAAAAAAAAATAAAAATGTAGCAACAGGAATTGATTACATATTATTATATTCGTTTTTAGTTAAAATTGTAGTTGTTCGAACTGACAACAAAGGTCAACATTGTGAAAATTATGACAGCTACGATTATTATCCATACACACGTATAGCTGTATTAAAGTTACTGAAACGTGGTTATATATCCTTCAACAATTAAATACAGAACAAGTCCTCTCAGTCCAAGTTGGTGGTTGGCAGTGCCTGGCAGTGTATGTATTGCGGTTGACTGCATTTCAGCGGCACACCCTCACTCGACGCCAACAGCGTTAACTGCTCTTGTAACGAAGTGTGTGTGACTATGCGGTCTGGGTGAGATTTCGAACCGAATAATCCTAACTACTGAAGTTCTTGAGATGTAATTGTATCACGATTTTTGTTAGGGATTTGGTCTAATTTTTTTGATACAATGAATTGTTTATTTGTAAAAACATTGCATTGTGCAAATTATTTATTTATTTATCGACTACATGCAATGTGTGTGTACAGGTGGACATTGTCTCCCAGTCTATCTTTAGCTTACCACCAGGCGAGATAACCTACCAAGTATAAAAAAGGTTTAAAAAGCAGCAGGACGTTTTTATAAAATATGTTTGAATCTGCTGAATAATAAGCAAATAGCCAATGTACAGACTTTAACTAAACAGAAATGTTTACCTACGTAATTAATATGTAGTTTTAGCTTATTTTAAGATTTACATACATATATATTTATTTTCTTTTCGTGTTATTTAAGTTCATTAATGTTTTAGAATAAAATTGTATACAACATAATACGTATACTTTGAATTCCTTTTACCATTATGAGTTAATACAACAGTGTCGTTCCAAATCATTTGATTCATTTATTTGAAAGTATGTGAATTACAATTTTCAATTGCATAAAATGTCATCATGTCACCTGTTCCACATCCCACACGTGCAATTCCAACTAAAAACTTCCTGAAGCTTGAAAGTTGCAACAGTTGAGAATCATTAATAATATCGTTCTTGCAGTGAGCGGTCTGAAACATTTGTAATATTTATAGTCCATTGCAACCATTTGCAGACTCGTCATAATTGCTTCAATGCTTTCAGCGAAAATGTAGCATCTGCTCGCCGTTACCTAGGAAACTAACCATTAGCGAAGACTTTTAAATAGTGTACCCAGAAATATTCAGTTTTCCAATTACTCATTTTGTGTTTGTTAAAGTTTTAATGTAAGTATATTTAAAGAATCTTCATTTAGTATTTAACAATCTTCAATTTTTATTTGGACACTAGCTGTTGCCCGCGACTTCGTCCGCGTAGATTAATGACTTCTGACAGAATTAACCAGAATCAATTCAGTGCCCAAGTAAGATTTACCTATTTTGAAATGATTTATCGTAGTTTCAATAAATAAATAATCCCGCAGGGATCTTACCAGTACAGTGCCCGATCACGTAAGGTTTGAGTAATAAAAACCTATTCTATCGACTATTGTTGTACCGAATCTCTCTAGAATAAGTTCAGTGGTTAAGAGTTAGAGAGTCCTGGGGCATTGACGCATAGTTCCCGTTCTCGTGAGACATCTGTGAAAAAACTATCATACGTTACCCAGGTCCTAAATCATTGTTTTAATGATTCTAAATTCAACGGCTAAGAAGATTTATACAAACTCTCATTCCCTATTTTATCCCCTTAGCGGTGGAATTTATCAAAATCCTTTCTAAAGAGATACCTATGTCATAGTAACTTTATGCATGCAAAGTCTCCGCCCGATCAATTTAAAACTGGCAAAGTATCATACAAACTTTCACCCCCTATTTTACCCACTTTGGGGTGAGAATGTTCAAAAACCTTTCTAAAGGGACGTTTACGTCATAATATCCATCTGCACGCCGAATTTCAACCCGATCAGTGTAAAACTGACAAAGCTTCATACAAACGTTCATCCCCTATTTTACCCCCTTAGGGGTGGAAATTATCAAAATCCTTTCTTAGCAGATGCCTATGTGATAACATCTATCTGCATGTCAAATTTCAATCCGATCAATTTAAAACTGACAAAGGCTCATATAAACTTTCATCCCCTATTTTACCCACTTGGGGGTGGAAATTATCAAAATCCTTTCACAGCGGATGCCTACGTCATAACATCTATTTGCATGCCAAATTTCAACCCGATCGATTTAAAACTGACAATGTCCCATACAAACTTTCATCCCCTATTTTACCCACTTGGGGGTGGAAATTAACAAAATCATTTCACAGCGGATGCCTACGTCATAACATCTATCTGCATGCCAAATTTCAACCCGATCGATTTAAAACTGACAATGTCTCATACAAACTTTCATCCCCTATTTTACCCCCTTGGGGGTGGAAATTATCAAAATCCTTTCAAAGCGGATGCTTACGTCATAACATCTATCTGCATGCCAAATTTCAACCCGATCGGTTTAAAACTGACAAAGTCTCATACAAACTTTCATCCCCTATTTTACCCCCATTGGGGGTGGAAATTAACAAAATTCTTTCACATCGGATACTTACGTCATAACATCTATCTGCATGCCAAATTACAACCCGATCGGTTTAAAACTGACAAAGTCTCATACAAACTTTCATCCCCTATTTTACCCCCATTGGGGGTGGAAATTATCAAAATCCTTTCACATCGGATGCTTACGTCATAACATCTATCTGCATGCCAAATTTCAACCCGATCAGTTAAAAACTGACAAAGTTTCATACAAACTTTCATCCCCTTTTTTACCCCCTTGGGGGTGGAAATTATCAAAATCCTTTCTTAGCGGATGCCTACGTCATAACATCTATCTGTATGCCAAATTTTAGCCCAATCTGTCCAGCGGTTTGGGCTGTGCGTTGATAGATCACTATGTCAGTCAGTCAGTCAGTCAATCACCTTTGAATTTTATATATATAGATTTAACGCCAAGGTACTGAAATGTTACTGAATTTTAAGTGGTACTTCCTAAATATCGTACTTTATCTGTCGTTTTCTAAAGTGAAAGAAATATTCTTGAGAGCCATTTAAAATTGAATAGTTTGAGTATTTAACCATTAGTATCTTTTGATGTGAGTATAATATTAATTATAGTGTCCATAGGGAAATTTATTATTGAACACAAACACATTCACATAGTACAGAATTATGAAAAATTTATTACCAAAATCATTTATTATAACATAAATAACTTATAGAATAAATGGATGTTTATGATTCACGTTATTAAAAAGGTAAGTTTGGAAGACATGTCAAATGATAATTTCGTATCATGTCAATGTTGTACGTGAAGATATCCCTTCATATTCTGGGGTGAGCAGAACTCTTAGATGGTAGAATCAGTCGGTTAATCGTCGCCTCCAGTCATGACCTCCATGAATTCTAGAAACAAAGAAACATTATGATATTAATCGCTTTTTAAAAAATCAATTAAATAAGGTTTACTTAGTTTTTAAAATAATGTAAGGAATCTACGTGTTTCACAAAAATACAAACTTAATGTAACAAAAACAGGAATAGGTTAATATGAAGTAGAATACCATGTTCACTATTTTTGCGGCTGTAGGCAATCTAATTCAGGTCGTGTTTGCACTTATAAAAAAACATACACCAAGTATAAAAAAATGGACAACTGGCTCATAAAACTTATGATAGGTACGGTAAAACGAGGTGAATATAATTCGAGGGGTGAATAGATACAGAAGAGAAGTGAATATATACAGAATAGGGATGAATTAATATTGAGACAATGTTCTAATATTTGTTCTCCCCATTCCTATATCTATTCACCTCTTGAAATCTATTCACCCCGTTTTATTACATTTCATTAAAGCCAACAATTAAGTAGTATTCTATTGAATGAGCAAACGAAACACATAATCGCCAACGAAATAATTTAGGTACAGTAAGAGAAGATAAACTGCACACAAAATGCAATTTGCAGAACGTAAATTAGTTTGTTTTAATCAATTTATTTACAAGTCAGCTGAACTCAGCTCTGTAACGAGAATGTTACGGTAATAGAAAACTAATTTTAGTTTTGGCTAAGAATCTCACGCTAACCTTACCTCTACGGCTAAAATTAAATGCTATCCAGGATTAACTGCTAGGTTTAAATGTACGTGGTTATCGACAATTTTAAGGCTATTATAGTCGTTTTTCATTGAATGGTAAATTCGGATTTAGTTTAAGAAACAAATTGTAGTGAGTAACTGATAAGACACTTATAACTTTGTATTCATAACTTTTACCAAAATTATCACAATTTATAGTATGAAAGAAGTATGATGAGTCTTTAAAAGCAAATTTATTTAATCAAACAATACATGAATTGATTAAATTATCCAGTACGCATGCAGTTTGATTTTATAGCATGAACCGAATCATTGTAACGTTGGTTTGCTTCTGTTGTTACTCAATGATCTCAACGTGACTAGAAGATAAATCTTTTTTTTTATTTAAGTTGATAATTAAAATATACATCAAAACCTAACTCGATTTTCATTTGTATATAAACATGAAATTATCCGAACGATTGTATTAGAGTTAAAGTTGGTTAACCTATAATTGGCGACTGTATAAGCCCAATACCTATTGTTACCTTTATTATCTCTTAATACTATGTATACAGAAGCTGTTGGTACACCTATTTAAATAAATAAAATAAATTAAAAAATAAAATTATATGTTTTATTTGATGTAAAGCTACTTTCCCTATTTCAGTCATCACGTCACTACACAGATTAAAGCCGTAAGTCATTTCGTATACTACATGAATCTACTCAAAGACCGGCGTAAAAGGAAATAAATTATACATACCATCAAAGTCCACGGTTCCTGAGCCGTCAGAGTCAATTTCTTCAATCATCATGTCTAACTCTTCAGCGCTGATCTTGTCATCCAGCTCTCTGAGGATTTCTCTTAAGACGCCAGTCGTGATGTACCCATTGCCTGAAAACATTAGAAAAAAGAAAATTTGAAATGCTTTCAGTCTTATAACATTTGAATGAGTCGTGTGAGATGCTATAGGAGGCCGAATTTAGCCCCATTTTTTTTAAGGGGAGAAAATCATCGAATGGTTTCTCGCGCCTGGGTGAGGCGGGAGGGAGTGTCAGACTCTTACTAACAATAACTACCCCGTTCCTAACCTTAAACGTTCTCCGCGACTCCGTATTGGCATCAATCCTATTGGACCTCATCCGTGGTGGTCTGGTGGCTCTTTGAGGTGCGTGCGGTACACGACGCGCCGTACGATCGGGGATCCATCCCCATTAGGTCGATAATTTAGGTACTTATAACATCTCTGATGCTACGGGTATCTATAAGGTAGCTGTGCAAATTGCTTACTATAAGGTGATCCTCGTCAGCTATCCCATCATATAGTATCTAGGTAATAGATATTTAATTTACGTACTCTTTGGGTAAAATAACTGGTATGATGTGTTATTTCACTGTTCATTATTAACTAGTTCTGGTTAGGACACATTAATTAGGGGTAATTAGGCGTAAATTGAGGTATCCTTCACAGTTCAACACATATTGGAATAATTATTGTATCCATTAATATTATTGTAATTGATTTGCTAAACGTGTGAATTCAGTACTAGAGTTTAAAACGAACAGTTTGTAATTATAAATATGCAAGTAATGTTTTTTCATTTGAAGTAGTTATAAATATTTTAATTTGAATTAGTATTAATCTTACGAGAAAAAATGTAATGCATCGTGCCTAATGTAATCGTCTTAAGAGATTCACCGCATTTAACATAGTTGTTGTTTTTTTTTTAATTTTGTTGACTTGGCTATACATAATTAACTAAATTAGCCTACACTAAATTAGACCTTACCTCAAAACATTCCCTTGATATTAGTGTGACAGTGAAAATTGCTCATAAAAGCATATTTATATGAAACAAGTCCCAATATGAGCAACATCAGAAACCTATGGGGACATTTGTGAACCAAAAGCTTTTAAACATCAATTTATTTCCTTATTGGCCGAAATGGCTGATGGTAATAAAACGGAAAAATCAATTCATAACTCAAAACGAACTAATTTTGATCCTTTTATCCTTGTAATAAAGTTCAAATGGTTTAACAAATTGATATAGGTACGTGGCCATGAAATAGAATTACATTTTCGGGGGAAATTAATTTCATATTTATAACGTATCGCCCGAGTCTTGGCCCTGGGTTTGTGGATTTCGACCTTACTTGAATTTTATATGATAGGAGAGGATATCCACCTGTATACTGAATTTTGAAATAAATAAATTATTTACGCGTGATAGAGGACCTTTATGGAGGTAATAAATACTTTTTGATGGAATTTGCGTGATTAAATTATTGTAGGTACAGATATTTTAAAATTGCTGTGAAGTGGCCATCATTGTTTTTTAACATTTGAAATTTTTGTACCTTTTTGTACCTAGTCAATTTTTGGCAAGCCAGGCAATACATGTTCTTGAGCCTTATATTTCGAGTGATAACTTAAAAACAGAGGATGACTAAAAATGTATTATACAAATCAATCAAACCTTTATTTTGTTGTTTATACAACTAAACATGATTCATTTCCCTAATTACGTTATTACCTCGATCATAAAATATGTAGATTATCCCCGAGCTTTATATCAAAATTATTATTGTAATTGTTTTCATTCTTATAGATTAGTGACATAAGTGAATAAGTGAAACAAGTGAAATTGTGTCTGCAAATACAAACTACAAGGCAGCACTTTTACACGTCAATTTTTCAACCGAACGATGAGGCCGACATTTCCGAAAGAAATCCCGAAACAAAGGACGTCCGTCTCTTTTAAATTGCTTACTGTAACTTACCTATCAACGTGAGTCTATACATCTTTGCACGAAATAATCTTTATTATTAGTATAATCATAGACTCAGCCTACACAGAAAATCAAGATACAAAATTATTATACAAATATATGTATAGGGTGGATTTGCAAAGATTTATTTTAGGAGTATTTTTCCACCTACACAAAAATATGTACCACCTACATGTTTCTTCACCCGTGAGCAATCGAAGCATGACAAAAGTATTTATGAATATTGCCAACTCGGATAAAATGTAATCGACCTACACGTGCAAAATGGGAAGAATAGAAAAGTTTATAAGTATATATGTGTGTGCTAAGCAATAACTCCTCGGCTATTACCACGTATCGCGATGTTGTTACTTTTGAATAATGTTGCAATTGTCGAGTGAAATAAGGTTTACTTTTTCTTCTGTATAAATATTTGATATCTGTATAAAAAACAAGAAATTATTGAAGGTGTCATTGGCTTATTTTACCTACTTGGTTAATATGTGTTAAGATAATAATAATAAAAATGATTGCTTAATTAATTTAAATGAAATGAAAATATATGTGAACTTTTAGTGTAGGAGAGCCATGCTTCGACACAAATGGGGCGGCTAGACCGGAGTGATACCACGGCCTCACAGAAAACCGACGTGAAACAACGCTTATTGTGATGCACTTCAACGCCTCTGGTGTTCCAATGGTGTCCATTGGCAGCGTCAATTGCTCACTATCAGGTGATCCGCCTGCTCGTTTACCGGCTTATCCCATAAAAAATAGTTCTTTGTCTAACGTTATTCTAAGTAACTAAATTTTCTACATCTCAACACCTTTTTTATGTAAAATTAATATTCTACGTGACGTTCTTATAATATACTCGTCAAAGGAAGACGTTTTGCGGTTGAATCCTACGTAATAAAGATATTCATTACTGGGGTTTTATCTTGAGCCGGTGGTTATGAAGTAACACGATTCTTCCTACACATAACACGATTCCTGTCTTCACAGAGATTTAAGTTGTATTTTATGACATGTTATTAATAATACTCATAGATGTAGTCGAGGTTTGTGTTCCTTGATGAAAGGATCACAGGTAAAACTAAAGTATTTATTTCAATTAATCCATATTTTAAAACTTTGTATTAGAATTGTCAGGTTTGTGAAGCTACATAGTTCCTATTAAATTCAGGCAAATAACACGGAGGAATTTTATTAAACAAAATTGAATTCAACAACCAATCTAAATGTACCTATTGATTTTTTTTAATTTTCTGTTTCGTTTCAATTGAGGGTGACGCCGTGGTATACAATTTCATAGAAAAATTAACTTATTGAGTACGTTCATAATTTTAATTAATAACATTTCCTCCAACAATGGCGTGATGATAACACCATTGACGTAGTATTCTTAGAAAACAAAGTCTGGCTGACCTGATACCGATAAAAGTGTCAACATAATGATAAATTAGATATCGTCTGAAAATCTAATGCACATTGCCAAATTGTGTAATGGCATTTAAAATAACATAAACTACATTACTAACTAAATGTTTATCTCGGTTGTCATAGTGGAGTGATCTATTGTTCAATTATTATTTATCAATCGTTACAAAGCGAAAACTTGGCTTGGAAACAGATTAGGAATGCTTTTGAACTAACTGCCTAGATTTTTGTTACTTTTTAGACTGTTGCCTACGATTTGTCGTATGGTTCAATGTAAATATTACATGTCAAATTTTTTAGTTACTAAGGAGGAAAATATGCTACTTTTATTTTGGAAAATTTCAATTAAAAACAGTTATGTCATAAAATTCATATGCTATGCGGATGAAGTCGCGGGCAACAGCTAGTTTTACTATAAAGTTCAATACCTCACCTTTTGTTGCTATAAAAATAACTGTGTTTCTGTAATAAAATGAATATTTATTTTCATTTAACTAATATAATGTAAGTATTTATTTATTTTTAGTTATTTATACATTTGGAATACAGCTATAAAATTTGATTAAATAGAATGCGGTGTGCAACAAAAAGCTAATTACTGGTTTCCACTATAAGTAACAGAGAATAGGAACATGCCAACACAATACTAAAATTACGTATTAAACTTATTAAACCACAGGCAATCTATAATGATGCACAAATTATTCCAAATATTAAGGACCGTATCCACTATGAATTAAAGAATAAGAATAGAATAATATGACTTTGTTAAAGACCTTTTAATATTGATTGAAGTTATTGTCTTAAGGCAAACAAAAATCGCTCCAAGTTAAAATCTGAAGGTCGTTATAATCTTCAAAACAACGATCTCAATCTTAAAAGAAAATGTTCACTTAATAATTTTTCAGACCATTGAGTCTTGTTGAAAAGCTTGTCTTGTTTGATCCTGTTACGAACGAGATTTTATTTTTCTTTTTAACTTTGAACACACTATTAGGTATATATCTTAGTCTAGGCTGGTACAGAGTACCAAAGATATAACTCAAAGGGACAAATTACGATGAACCCAGCCTATTAATATTTTGCTTTTATAGGTAGGTCAACTTATACTGTTCAGCAGTTTCAATAAGCGTTGTCGTCTTTAGACGCTTTGCGTCTTTTGGTACCTGGCATCTATTGTTGTAAAAAACATTTGTCAGCTTTGATATTACGAAGAGATATTATCCGATTATTTATTCGAAGTTTAACAAAAGATTATCTGAACGTCTTTAAATTAAAAACCTGACCTCCGTACCTACATGCCTGAAGGAACATTAGATTTTTAGCATAAAATTATGTGTATTGGTCGTTTATTTATTTATTTATTTATTTTGTTCATACTTTTTGTTTTTACTAAAATAATAATTAAGCTGAACTTTTTCATATTGAAACTTTTGAAGATATTTATTATAGACATAATTTTCAATTTCAATTTTAAAAACTTGTTGTCAAAGTAAAATGTCAATTTATTTTCACAACAATTTTTTAATAAATTTGAAATTGTTGTCATACTAGACGTCACAGATTATACAAGACTATTTTTACCGACTTCAAAAAAAGGAGGAGGTACTATGTTCGGCTGATTGTTTTTTTTTTTTTTTTTTTTTTGTTTGTTCGCGCAGTACTCCGCCGTTTGTGGACCGATTTCGAAAATTTTTGTTTTGTTTGAAAGGGTATACTCCCGAGATGGTCCCATTTCCATGAAGTCAGGATCTGATGATGAGATCCTAGGGAAACCGAGGGGAACTTTCGAAAATTCTATGGAGGAGTAATGCGTCTATTATGTTTTTCAATTACCATTTTTAAACACTACAATTTCATATGGGTTTGGAGTCGACCTGATGATGGAGTCGACAGACAGTCGAGGGAACTCCTCAGCGGTTTATATTAACTACCTTGTGTTTGGGCTTGATTAATTTGTATTGATGAGGACTTTACACCTAGATACAGTGGGGCTGTCATTAAGGGTCTGATGATGAAGAAGTGTAATTGGTAAGGGAACTCCTCAACGGTATACAGTAACTACCTTGTGTTTGGGCTTGATTAATTTGTATTGATGAGGACTTTACACCTAAATAGAGTGGGGCTGTCATTAAGGGTCTGATGATGAAGAAGTGTAATTGTTAAGGGAACTCCTCAACGGTATACTGTAACTACCTTGTGTTTGGGCTTGTATAATTTGTATTGATTAGAACTTTGCACCTATATATATTATAAGTAACAAAACGGGTATATGTAGCTTTACACTGAAAATGATAAAATAATAAAATAAAAACTGCGTTTAAAAAACCGACTTCAAAAAACCAAAAACCAAAAACTAATAACAAACAAAAAGTCAAATCTAAAAAGCAAAAAATAACTATTATTAGTACTGATAGGTTACCCCCCCACTGATAGGTTAGAAGTCGGTGCCATGAGCTAAATTTGAAATTGTTGTCATACTAGACGTCACAGATTATACAAGACTATTTTTTAGTAATTTTAGTTAAAATGAAATGGCCTCTAAAGAGTAACGATGGAGTTGCTTGCTCGCACTTCTCCATTCAAATCTGCATTTTGGATTGCACACTTAGCTACACTGACAAACTGACGGATTCAATTGTGACATCTCAAAAGTGCTTGTATTAATATTAAGTATTAATTGAAGTAAATGCATTGACTTAAAAAATCTATTCATCCGAAGCTGTGATTAAAAAAATTACCTTCTTTATCGTATAACCGGAATGCTTCTTTGAGTTCCTGCTGCATCGCTTCAGCATCTTCCTCAACCATGAACCTGGAAGCCAGGGTTACGAACTCCTCGAACTCCAGTTCACCAGAACCTGGAATATTAACGCGCATAACATGAAATTTCACGGACTTTTAAATTATTATTATGTACTGACAGTAGGAGTCTTGCTTTAAAAGTTTCTGTCTATGTAGATTCATCATCATCATCAACAGGCTATAAATTCCCATTCCTGAGCAAAGTCTTCATGTAGATTACTATACCCATAATACCTTGAAACGATATACTCCTTATATCTCATAACTGATCAAATTTTTCACATCGTCGTGCCTTTTATCCCCAATTTTAACAGTTAAATAATAATTTATGTTAAAACTAATACAATGTTTTCGTAAATATTTCACCAAAACTAATCTCATTTCTCAAGCAAACTTCAGAAACAAAGTAATGATTTCCAAACAAATTGTAACAGATGTAAGCCTGTCGAAATAAAAGCAATTGGCATAAATTTCAACAAATCATCCTTCTACACGTAACGAGTTTTGTTCAAGTTTGCCCTTTTGTTTACTAAAGGCCCAAACTTCATGTCTAAATATTTGAAGTGAAACGTTGAAAGAAGAATAATTTTTTTTTGGGTCTTTGTCTAACCATACAATGTTGCTACCATCCGTGCGTCACCTCATGGGTGCCCACTGAAAATCAGTGCTGGGTGACTTGTATGCCTGGCTTACCCTGAGTGGGTAACCCTTTTAGCATAGGCATGTTGTCAGCGTCTCTCTTCTAATTCTTGTTTTAATTTTTCAACTCAATGTTTTTATTACTTCCACTGTCACATCTTTATTCATCATCAACACCTTTATTGCCTTTTTTATATTATATTTATGCTGCATCGTGGCTGGTGCTGAATAAATGTTTTTTCTTTCAAAAAACGTTAGTACTTAAAATTACAAATTTTGTTTTGGAATTTGATTTTTTTTATATACTTAATAGTTCGACGTTTGACCACCATCGCGCCTGTTGGTAAGCGATGATGTGGCCGACGATGGAGCACGCCTACCTATGAGCAACCTGTTCACTCGAGACTTTAGGACACCCAAGTTATATTTGACGGGCAACACAGACTCCGGCAAGGAATTCCATTCCTTAGCGGTTCGCATGAGGAAGCTTGACGCGAAACGCTTCGTGCGAATGGGCGAAATGTCCACCATGTAAAGGTGGCGCCATATATTTAGAGGATTCCAAATCTATATGGCTAATTTTGATCTTGAAATGTTTATGGAAGTCCAGGGAAAGTTCAAAAGGTGAGAAACAATTTCTGACGGTTTTAAGTTTGCCGGGTCAACTAGTTCTTTATACCTCTAAATATAATAAAATAAAAAATTCAAAGGAGTTTTCCCGTAGCGTGAAGTATTTATGTGTGTGAAGCTAAGCGTTAATTGTATTATGGATTCCAGAACATAATCTAACTAAAACAAATCGTTTAGAGTGACATTCCACAAATGTCTACTATTACGGACGGACAATTTATTCTGTGTTTAAACAAAAGAACTTAATCTATCGTTTAATTAACATTTTTTCGTGATTTATAGATCATATTATCTGCGGACTCATAGAAATATATTGAAATTAAAACCGTACACAACACCCGTTCATATAAAAGTAAAGACTGGTTTTCGTGAGTGAAATTAAACCGTCGATGATTTTTGCAAATGAAGTTTGTCTGCTAAAATTTTATTATTTGATCATATAGACTTAATATTATTTTAATACGTTTATCTAAAAACCGATAAACTTGTCTATGAATCGAATATTAAACAACAAGCATTTACAAGACAAATTCTTGGTGTTTCAAATATTAAGCTAATAGTTTCTATGTAGAAATAGACATGTAGGTAAGATAGATTATATCAGCTGCGATGTTTCCCACGCAAATCACGTCGAAGTAGGGGAAAGGTGAGCGTATTCTTAGACATACATGAGGTAAGTACTAGTGCGAATAGATTTCATGTCCCTACGATAATTTCGGTAATTATCTAGTAAATGTTTCTACAATTTTCGAATAGTATTTAGTATCGTTCCTTTTTAATAACTTTAATGACGATGTTTTACAAGGAATTATCATTCACTAAGGGTGGGAATTACCACGTTCTTAGTAAAATCTATTGTTGTTTTTGTAAACTCTACAATAAATAATTTACTCTTACATCTTATTTTTTGAATTCATAATTCATCAGTATCACTCATTAGAAATATTCATTCGTTTACATTTTCAAAAATAATTCTTATTTACCTGATTCAAAACTGATTAATTTATTTGAAAAACTTTTTTGATGTGTAACTTACCGTCAGCATCAACCTCGTCGATGATTTCTTTGAGGACATCGTCGCTGACCTGGTGACCCAACATGCCGAGGATTGTGCCCACCATCACCGTGCCTATGCATCCTTTCTTTTCTTGGTCAAAAGCTTCGAAAGCCTTCTTCAGAACTGGAATTAGATTTATACTATGTTTATAAGACTTACTAAAAAATATAGCAAACTAGAAAAATACTGCTTAATAGTTTAAATTTAAAAAAAAACAAGAGACCTTTAGATAATTCATAAAAATACTCACTGCTGATTTGTTCCTTGTCAAGTTCCTCCTGAAACCACCAGAAAAACATAATTAAAAATAAATTCATAACGAAAAATGTTTTAACAACTTATTAAAACTTGAATTCACAATAGACGAAAACACTGATATCACTTCACTAAAGCACGACTCACGAAACAAAATTGTCTCACCATTGTTTAGAGATAGTACGAGGGGTTCCGTCTAAAGGAATTGCACGATGCCGTATGCTAGAGTGAACCACAGTAGGAGGAACACGAGCCCTTTTATCTGAATGGAATGACCGACTGTACGGAGCCGCGCGAAAATATCACCCAGGTTGATACAGTGGGTGCCTCGGTCCTCTACAATGTACTCCCAACACCGAGTCACTTCGATTTGGCGATGCAAAATGCTTTTAACCGCCGACAATAAGGTCACCATACATTAAACAGTTGCCGGATGTCCACTATACTCATGTCTCTTGCACGTTATGCCAAATGCGTATTTCACTATCAACGATTCGATTCCGTTTGGTTATTAATTACACATTAATTAAAATATCACCGCGGTTGGACGGTTGCCACGCCATTTGTAGAATATTTTTCTCATTATAAACAATAGTAATAAAAGTAGGTGCTTTACAGAATTAGAATTGCGTTCTAAATAAGCTGTATTGTTTCTTTTCACTGTGCTACTTAATGGGCACGTGGATCTACGAAAAAAGGTTCTTAAATTCATCGAATTCCACGTTCGGTAACTCATTAACAAAGTGAACATTTCATTTCATTTTTATATACAGTGTCAATAACAAACGTATAGATGTAGAGTATATTGTTAGCCATCAGTGTCGAACATTGTAATTTAAGTACTAATAATCACACATTTTGACGATAATATAATTAATTTTTAATTTTCGCTTGCAGTCAGTATTGCGAGCAAAATTGCCTACAGCGCATCAAAACTGGACTAATTTTCTATTCACCCTATGTGGGATATATTATTTTGATATCCGTCATTAATACTTGATTATTGAACAGAAAATTGTAATATGATGAAAACTAGTGCTGTCATGTCTGTACAATAAATTGAAATGGGTGTGACGTATTAGTAGATATCACTTTATTTATACAGATAAGGCATACTAATTAAAGTGATATTTAATTTATTTGTGTAAATAAAAGCAGTAAAATCCAAGCGTCACTCTAGTAGTGTGAGGGGAGGGAGGGAGGACAGTGCGCCTGCACACAGACAGTGACATATTTTGTCGCTCCCAATGGTGCCAAATGCAAAGAAAAGCTAAATGATCCACAGCAGCATTTAGAAAAACATAACAAAACGAAGGTTTTCATGTGTATACTATGTGAAACAACAGAGCAAACACATAACATAACATCACTCATCACACATCACAGAGCAAAATAAGGTAAATGGTATAGAGTAATTTCCTACATTTTATTTTAAAATTCATCTGGTAGATTAATTTGAAACATTAGACACGTATTTATTATTTTCTCACAAAAATAAATACTTTCGACGATATAATCATTTGAAATATCGTGGGAGTGAAATAATGACGCGACGACCTCCCACTCCTAAACTTAACGCCATTTTATCTAAGTATTGTAACTTAATACTGACCTAATACTTGTCACGTATAAAGAAGAAAATAAAAAATACGTGTTTAATATTTTTTCAATATCTAACTGATGAACTAATTAGATTTTTAGTTTTCTTACCCTGCCATTTTATTATCGCTCATAATATGAAACAATATTATTGGGCGATGAAAGGTCTGATACCACAAAAAAATATCGTTTGAAACCTGTAATAATACTTGTAATAAATTAGATTTAAATGTACTAAAACCACTATACTGATCGGATAAAATAGTAATTGAACAGATAGTAATTGATTCCAGTTATTTCAGATTATAGAATCTAAATAAAACCACATTATTAATGAGTACTTAGCCAGCAGTCAAATGGCGGTAATTGAACTTTATATTGTTAACTAGCTGACCCGGCAAACTTCGTACTGCCTAAAAATTTTTTTTCACCTTTTGAACCTTCCCTGGTCTTCCATGAACATTTCAAGACCAAAATTAGCCAGATCGGTTTAGCCATTCTCGAGTTTTAGCGAGACTAACGAACAGCAATTCATTTTTATATATAAGATAATAATTTTATTCATACTTGAATAAACACTAGTTATAAAACTTTAGTGTAGGGTAATACGGTTTTTTAAACCATTTCGATGTCAACAAAATAAACTCATAAAACCAAAATACATGCCTATATATATATTTCAGTACTGCCCTGATACATACTTACGGTATTACATAATTAAGGTAACGCGAGTATTACAACAATTTCCAGAACAGTTTTAGATCTAAATCGATTATCAAATAAGGAAAATGAGAAAACTTTTAGTATCATGACTTCAATAGGAATTCTCATCACTTTTTTTAAACATCAGACATTTTTCGCTTTGACAATATTTAGCGCCATGCCAGTAACATTAAGCATTAGCATACCAAATACATCACCACATGGATTCTTAATTGCCGTCCAACCAAACGACTTAATTGCACTAACCTGATAAATTGCAAGAAAGAATGACAACACTTCTTTATAGTAGCTAGAAACAGAAATAAATACAATCCTTTGCAAACGATAGTAAAAACTATTGAGCTGCCAGAAATGTTTCAAGTTCCTCAAAAGTTTCTCACTGAAATCTGACCATCTTGTTTTGCTGTGAAAGAGGACAATGCAGTAAATATAACTGACACGAAAATAGCTACATTGTGTTACAGTTGGAGTAGGACATATTATTTTGACAGCAAAATTTGTTTCCAGGGTACAACTCGACTGTCTTCAAGTTTCGAGTAAATAGTCTGTATATAGGCGTACTCCATCTTAGGCCACATCGTCGCTTACCATCGGGCGAGATAGGGGCCATGCGCCTACCACAAAAAATTGGATACCTATTTAGTAAATAAAGAAGTTCATAAGCTTTAACACACGCGTCTATCATCATCATTATCATCTTCACCAAATCCACTATAGATTTTTTTTTCATAGCATAAGCCTGTAAACGAGCAGACGGGTCACCTGATAGTAAGCAATCGGCGCCGCCCATGGACACCCGAAACACCAAGGCGTTACAAGTGCGTTACCGGCCTTTTGGGAATTGCGAATTTGAGGATTGTGGAGGATTCGGGGATTCGGGAGACTAGGGAGAAGGGTAATTGGGCCTCCGAAATAAATAAAGAAATGAATAAATACCTTCTACCTCTCTGTAGATAGGATTTGCCATGGAAAGCGATTTTAGTATCCACCTTGCGGTAGCTGATTGCAATTTTAGGACATATCCGACAAGAGCCGGTTCTAACCAGAAGATAATAAGATATCAGTAACAGGTACATTTTGAAAGTAGACTACTTTTTAATAATGTTTATCAATATTGTGTAAGTCAGTAACATAAACTTTTGTCGCGTAAATGCCACAAAAATATGAAAACACACATGTGTAATTCCAAGTTAGTACTAGAACTTTTATGTGAAGATTTAGGATGGTAAACAAATTGTTTTCCGGAAATATATGTATAATCAGATAAAACTTTTTAATTAATTTTAGTTTAACAAAAAGTTATTTAACGAATCAAAGTATTTCCTGATGCTGTAATGTAGGTATTGTAAGGTGACGTCAGTCGCGTCTCCCGGTCGAGTTGGCATTGCGTGCGCGCAGTGGGCCGGCCACATCCAATTAATGTTTCATCTAGTTGTACCCTAATCACTGTTACAGGTGTTCCGCAATTAATACCGTGAATATATTCACGTAATTATTTATAGCTGCTTCACTCTTGGTCGTAGACTGTAGCAACATAGTTCGTCCTATTAAATAAATAGGTTAATACTATTTACACTACATATTTATAGTATGGATCTATTACATATATTTAATGTGAATTAAAATATCTCGGTTGCATGTTAGATATGTTTATTGAATGTTTAATTTTCATATGGCTGGTAGTTGTTGATGTGTTTTATTGCACCTACCATGTTTTTATGTATTAGCTAAAGGTTGATTTGATTTATTTTAGTTTGGTAACTCTGAATAAGTTCGTTGTCAAAATATGTAGGTAGTATAAGTAGGACTGTCTTATTGGCCGAGTGGTTGTAATTGCGACTGCCGGGCAAGGGGTCTTGAGTTCGATTCCCGGGTCAAGCAACGAATTACTGGGTTTAAAAAAAAAATCTTAGTAGTAGTACGGAGGCTGGAATTGTGGTCGGTGTATAGCAATAGGCTCACCCCTTATTACACGGGACTCGTAATACATAATAATAGAGAAAAGTGAGTGTTACATTGTACAGTGGCGTTAAGTGCCGTAATGTGCGCCTTTGCCTACCCCTTCGGATATAAAAGGCGTGGTGTTATGTCCATCATATGTTATGTCAAAATATAGCAAACAATTCAGCATAAAATCGTGGCTATAATTTTTCAAATACGTCTGCGAAATTCTTATAAATGTTAAGTTCTCAAATATTAGTGCCCCCGGGGTGCTCTAGACATTTGTATCTGCGCCGATACTTAGGTATACCCCTTATAACAGTTAAAGTTTTATTACTTACATCCCTTAGGGTACTGTTAAATACCACATTAAAATTTGAACTTTATAAATAATATCTTACTTCTAACCACAAGCTAAGAGATTAGCATAGATTTAAAATTATAAATTGGAAATTTCGATTTTAAAAGCAATTAGCAATGCTCTGCCTGATCTGTCGAGAAAAGATTTTATCTGTACAGATAAATTATATTGGAGTATCTGTTTGTAATTAAATTACAATAGCAGATTTTTATTATATACATATTATATAGAGGTATATTATACACAATACGATACACATAGCAAAATCACATTTTTCTATCTATTTACACTGACACATCTCTGGAATGGCTGGACCGATTTTGTAAGATTTTTGTTGGCAGGTAGCGGATGTACATAGGCTACTTATAATTTGGTAAATTGAAAAAAAAAAGTTATGTTC